TTTCTCTTGTTTTTTTTGCTGTTCGAGCTGCCACTGTTGCAGGTTTTCTTGCAACTGCTGGTGTCTCTCTTCTTGTTTCTTTTCTTTTTCCTCCAACAACTGCTGTAATTTCTCTTGTTTTTTTTGCTGTTCGAGCTGCCACTGTTGCAGGTTTTCTTGCAACTGCTGGTGTCTCTCTTCTTGTTTCTTTTCTTTTTCCTCCAACAACTGCTGTAATTTCTCTTGTTTATTTTGCTGTTCGATCTGCCATTGTTGCAGGTTTTCTTGCAACTGCTGTTGTCTCTCTTCTTGTTTCTTTTCTCGTTCTTCTTGTTTCTTTTGCTACTCTTGTATTGCAGCCATCAAGTCTGCTATGCTGTAGTTTGATTTGCCGCTTCTCGTTTCCATTTTTTTTCATCCCACTTCTGACACCAATTTGTTACGTCTCCGTTTGTTAATTAACTTTCCGTAACTTCGTTCCGACGAAATTTTAACGACACAAGTCTTTACTTAATAAAACTGGTTTATTCTTTCCGAATATAACTTTACCGATACACTCAACTTCAACAATCGCCGTAGAGAAGCTTTATGGTGTGACAGGACATTCTACAAGATTATGGGGACCAGTGGGGGTAACTATTGAGCTCATGGGCACAAAGGAGAGACAGAAAGTATACTTGGCTGACATTGAAGATGAATGCATCTTAGGATTGGACTATCTATTACCAAGGAAGTTTGTAATTGATTTTGATAAGATGACGTTTGGGAATAACAAAGGCCAAGTTCCGGTAATTGTTAAAAGAGAGGTTGAGCTGATTGGGTGCCATCGAGCTGAAGTCAAGCCGACTGAAAAAGTTGATGATGACAAAGTGGAACCAGGTATCGATATCAAGGCAGAACTGCTTGGGAGAAGGTGTCTAGTCTAAGCCCCGTGACAAAGCACTATTGGGCACAATGGGACCAGTTGAAGCTTGAAAATAGTATTCTTGTCCGGAGATGGGAAACTACAGATGGGAAAGTGACGACTAGGCAAACAGTTATACCGAGGAAGTTACGGGAAGTTGTGCTGCGTCAATCCCATGATAATTTAACTGGAGGACATCTCGGAATCAAGAAGACATTGAGTCACATACGACAAAGAATTTATTGGATAGGTATGAGGCGAGATGTGGAAGAATGGTGCCGAACATGCAGTACATGTAGTGCTAAAAGAGGACCCAAGCATGATGGACGCCCACCTTATGAAGAGTTGTCTGAGAATGTGTCAGAGTTTGTGAAAGTGTTATCGGAAAGGATTGATGATATTCACCATCAAGTGCGTACAAACTTGAAAACGTCTGCTGATTTGATGAAGTTAACTTATGATAAG